GTCTCTCCTGTTTATAACTTCGTAGCAAAGAATAAACGACATTCATAGCGGTGAAACCGCTAGCAAGAGCCACAGGAACTTTGCTGCAAGACAGGCATATGTAACAATGACTTATCTCAGCTAAACTCGTTGGCTTAGTATACTCTGTTCTTGTGACAACAGGCCAGCGAAAAATCTAACAATCTACAGCAAAACCATCAATTATTATGGGCGTTATAACATAGGTGTGCAGCTGGACGAAACATACACGCCGAACCCCCCCAGACGATTTAAATCCCTGACGAAACATACACGACGAACCACGGCAACGGGTTAATAAACAATGGCCTGTATATAAGGTCCAAAAATGTTTTAGTATTAAACGGCAATGTTAAGTTGCTGCAGAGACTCAAGGTCAATTTGTAGGTAAAGAGAAACTAATATCTAGCATGCCAACAAATAATGTATGCACTGTGTTCTGTATACACAGTGGAACTCCATTTCTTGTTCCACATTTTAAGGTTTTCCTTCATTTACAATTCAATTTCAATGACACCAAGTGATAAATTCTTTACAAATTGTCAATGAAAATCCGTCGAGTGTAACAATGTTTTTAGGTCACTTATTTATCTCACTTGCCTTACATGTTTCGGTTCAAGAGAAACCATCATCAGAGGCACGTATTACAAACACTTGAAAACACTGGTGTTGTTTAATGTACACAGTATGTAAGCTGCGTGTACGCTGTTACAGGTGTCGAAGTGTAAAAGCACAACACTTTCTAGTAGCATTGAATGCACGTTCATTGACAATTTGTGATTGATAGTGTAACGGACCAAAAATGAAACAATTCAAAATGATAAATTCTTTGTTACACTACCTCCATTTAAGACTTTCCTCAGTTTAGTGCTCAAACTCACCTGGTCACCAATGAAACTTTAAGTACATGTTTCACTGCAGGCTAAGGCTTTATTCACACTGAAACTTTGATTCCTCCACTGTTTACAATATTATATTTAAGCATCCTGTTACACTCACACAATATATATGAGACAAACTCTGTCTTAAGTGCAACAATTTAATTGTAGTTCTTTCTTCTTCCCTTCCTCCACACTACATGTTTCGGCCCTAAATGGCCATCATCAGGTGTGTATTCTTACGTAGCTGCTACACTGCCCGTAGTTTAAAATTTAAACTCACCAGTCTTTCCAAATGTATGTATGTATCAAATCTTTGTTAACCTACGCGCGTCAATTTGATTTCTAAAATTGTCACTTTTTTAAAACTTCAATTCAAATTAAAATGTCTATAAATTTTCTGTTCTTTTTCTTTTTCCAAATTTTTAAAAATTAAAATTTTCTCGGGGTACATGCCCTATGTCTATAGTGCTGCAGCGGCTACTTCTTGTTTTATCACTGTTCAGGTATTGTTCTGTGTAGGCTCTCTCTGTGTGTGTTGCTGCTTATCTTTAATACGTGTGTCCTCCACTGTCCTTAACAATACAGGGCCTTTACATACCTTATCAATCCGATCTGGCCTGTTGGTAGCACCAACCACTGTCACGTTTCCCAGAGGCTCTACTCCGTCTAGTTCTGTAAGTAACTGAGCCAAAACCCTTTCCTGAACATTGCTAGCTCCAGATCCTGAAGCCCCACTTCGTTCTCCTCCTAGAGCATCCAATTCATCAAAAAATACAATAGCTGGTGCCACCTGCCTGGCTTTGCGGAAGACCTCCCGTACTGCCCTCTCTGACTCGCCAACCCATTTGCTGAACAGCTCTGGTCCCTATAAATTCATTGCCAAAAGTCACTCTTCCAGTACCACTACTATCTTCACTTAATATCCAAGAAGAAGAAGGAACAATATCCACGTTCCCAAGTAACTGCAATTGCACTGTAACCTGTACCATCTGGATCTACACTTCCTACTACTACAAAACTGGTGGCCAGACTTAAGCTTGGCAGAAATGGGACTGAGACAGTAGACAATCTGACATTATATCTTCTGAATCAATGCATGTGCTGGTATAGCTGTGTGATGAACAGATGGTGTGCTTAAGTATACGAATAATGAAAAATAATATGTTTTTGGTCTCAATATATCTCAAGACATATCAAGACAAATGACAATGATCTTCTAATATGCAAGAATATTAGCTTTTATTGGCATTCAAAATTCAAGTTAGGAGAGAATTCATTACCATGGTTGTGTCATGGAAAAAGGATACAATGAGGACAATGATAAGGGCATTAGAGTTAAAATTTAAGGGGCAGATCTATGGGTTGTCCAGGGCAAAATATGGTTCAGATAGGTACTGAAAGACATCAGGAAGGGTGGAAAGAGTTGAGAATAAATTCAAAAAGAAAGACTGTGGGATGACAGAAGAAACTGAAGACTTTTCATCCACTGACCCATTTAAAAAAATAATATGAGGGGGCTAGGAAGAAGATTGATGCTACACCTTTTGCACTCTTTTTAATGGAGGAACAATCAACCATCTACAACCTATAATATCAATGTTAAACAGTGGAATATATTGGTAACATTAAACTTCAAATATACTGTGGCATGCAGACCCATTGCTAGGCAATGACCATGAAATAAGCAACTATGAAACAGCTATTGCTAAGTAATGGCTCCACAAACATCCAAGTTTCCATGGCAAAAACAGAATAGAGCAATAATGGAAGAGATGTTTTCTATGCAGTACGTGCTCAAATGTTATAAGTAGGACCAGTTAGCAGTTGCAGTTACTTAGAGAACTACTGCGGTTCTGTCATTGTGATCTGTTGCTGCTAGAAGCTGGTAGTTGAGATTGGGGACAGTTCAGGGACCCAGATCAAGGGGAACGTCCACAGTTTGGAAGCCGCTACCAAGCAACAGCAGTGGAGACATGACTGTAGACACCAGTGTGTGTGTAAAAGTGAACTGTAAAGGTAGTCATGCACTGTATCAAAGAGTCCAATAAATCCAGTCATCAATCCAAAACCTGCCTACAGTCACACTCCATCATGTGACAATATTTATAAAGTAAAGGCAAAGCTATCTCTGTAACAGACTGTGAAGGTCCATAGGGTTGTGAGATGCTGAGGGGCCTACATTTTCTAGACAATTGGCTCACAGATGGTGGTAAGGTTGCCTTACGCGCCGGCAGTCCTTTAGCCCCAGGAAGATTCCTGGTACTGATTTCTGTTAGAGGCTGAATCGGCCCCAGGGCCATAGTGCGGCTGGAAGGATTAGATCAACTGAAAAAATCCACCTCATTGGGACTTGAACCTGTGACCTTCCGGCTTGTAGCATAGTGTCTCAACCAACTACACTACCGCGTGCCCCATTCATAAAGTAGTGTGACAAATTAACATGAACCACACTTACACTGATTCAGTAGCCAACTTACATACAAATTTTATTTGCAGAGTACTTTAATATTATGATGCACCTTAATTTTCAGTTATTAAAATCGAACACAATGCTGAAAAATTTCTGGCTCAAAATTGTACACTAACAAATACCTAGAGGACCTGGTGGTAAGATCCTAGACATATATTCAGAAGAGATCTGAGTAAGATCCCTGGTAAGATCTGTCTTCAGATTGATATCCACCTCTTCCTAAGATAGAACTTCGAGACTGAGAATACCCCTGCCTCCCCCCCCTCTCCTTTGGAATGGACTGTATGCCCTTGTCTATGTGGGAAAAAGTTAAGAAGAGATAAATACTGACTACATCTGGAAGCATGAAATGTTAAGAGTTACCTTTATTGACAAGAAATTTAGTTTACTCTCTGTAGCAAGAGCCTTTGCAATCATAGTCTTTGAACATCCTGGGGGTCCAAACATTAGAACACCTCGCGGAGGAGAAATTCCAAGTCGAGCGAAAACTTCAGGGTGTTTCAATGGCCACTCCACAGCCTGACGCAACTTCAACTTGAGTTCATGCTGTCCACCAATGTCACTCCATCGTACCTACACAAATATACAAAAATAAATTCTCCATTTTGCAGTCAGCTCCACCAGTTTGACAATTAACATTGGATACAAAAAGCAGATGGTGGTCATGTGACCAACATAAAATTAAGTCGATAATAAAAATATAACAATCAGAAGATAATATCAATATAGGGCATTTTCTCACTCTACTGGTAGTCCAGTCTCAGAATTGAGATCCTTTAGCACTGCCTGGCAAAATGAACTCAGACAGGTCAAAGGGCCATAATTGGAAACAGCAGAGAGAGGAAAAAAACGGGTATTTTTCTCTGACATCCTCACTATGAATTTCACGTACATTTGGCACCTCAATGAGGACTTCTCTCATTGCACTTGGTTTCACTTGAGTCATAGACCAGAGAAGGTCTTCTACTTTGACAATAACTGGGTCAATACCACATAAAACATCTCCTGCATATGTCCTCTTAACAGCATGAACAGCTGCACGGGAGCACAGTGCTGCCAGGTCAGCACCCACATAACCATGGGCTGAATGAGCCACATTCCTTAGCTCCTCCTCTGTCATTTCATGAGGAGTTTTTGACAGAAGTTTCTGCAGAATATCAAGACGAGCATTAGGACTTGGTACACTGATCTCAATTTCTCGATCCAATCTGAAAACAGAAAAATACTTCCAGCAAGAATGCAATCTTGTGAGTGAGGAACTTAATTTTGCAACAAGTTACATTTGAAAGAAACACATTCATGTATCTTGTATCTTTATTTTCATTTCCATAGTTCCTTACTGGCTACCAAAGCCACTGGATATAGAACATGTCACAAGTTACATACGTCAGTTCTGAGAACAGAAACTAGTTCTTTTACAGCCACATTCATAAAAGGAACCATAATTATACAATTCATTAACGCTGATACTAACTTCACCAACAAGCAGTGGTCGCTTGGTCAGTTAGTTTGCTTGCGACTAAAACCACGGAGTTTTTTTTTTGTGTACAATCATCAACTAGACATTAATATCTTATCAAGCTCATTTCTTTATATATATATATATATACAAATATCAATTAAAAGTCCTTTATACCATACAAAGAGCATTATAAGAAGTTTAATTCATCTTATATTTAAAATACTCGTCCAATGTATAAAATGATATGTCAACACATATAAACAAGTAGATTGGGAAAGAACCAGCAAAATAAAGACAATTTGAATTATTTTCTTATTTAATCCCATTAGAAGATCCTTAAGTAAATTCAAATCATAAATGAAATTCAAATTATTATGCTGACAGAACAAATGCCAGCAGAGATTCACATATACTGGTGAGACATTTAGACTATGCATCATTAAATAACACACACTGGAATGCGGCTTTCTGATTGTAATGAAATTTAGTATATGTCACATAGCCATCATGATTAAGTCTGAAAAAAGATCACTAAAATAACCAATGCTGTTAGCAATAGCCAGATGTACCTGCCAGGCCGCCTCAGGGATGGATCTATAGAATCTGGCTTGCTGGTTGTTGCTATTACCAGAACTGCCTTTGTCTCTTTTCTCTGAGATGCTGGCAAAGGAAGATGTAATCCATCTAACAAAGTAAGCAATGTTGACACAACTCGTTTATCCTGCTCAGAGCCCCCACTCCCATCACTGGCTCGCCTTGGGCATAATGCATCAACCTGAAAGAGTATATTACACAACCCTATTTGATCCACATAACCTTTTCAAATGGGGCAGGGTTGTCAATTTCCATTTTATTTATTCAGATAAAATTGCAAGGTACAAATAAAAAATCTTTCACAAATATACTTTTTCATTTGACAAAGTGTGAAGTTTCAAAGAAGTGCCAAAATAACAGCTATCAAAAAGCCCCTGTGATGAGACCATAAAACTACTGGAAGACAGCTCTGGCCGCACCATAGCTCAAGCGGTTGAATGTATGAATGTATAAGGGGTGGGCCTTCTTGGCCCTTGCACCGCGACCACAGTGATCTATTGTGCCTTGGCTGCACCATAGCTCAAGCGGTTAGTCACTGGCTTCCCACCATGATGGCCCGGGTTCGATCCTGGGTCTGGTCAAGTGGGATTTGTGGTGGACAAAGTGGCAGTGGGGCAGGTTTTCTCAGAGTACTTTGGCTTCCTTTGCCAATCTTCATTCCACCAAATTCTCCATCATCATAATCACCCGGGGAAGGTACAATAGGCCAATCAGTGGCCGCCATGCCGAGTGGACCCAGCTGGACTCCACCCCCCACTATGCGAATTTAAAAAAAAAATGGAGGACAAGTTACGGGTTCCACATGGATACCATACAGTAAATTAAAATAATTAAAACCCAGTCACTGGAAACTGGACAGTCAGTTAATGCAATACTTCCTCAGAAGCGTGCTTCCCATAACTGGCAACCTCCAAAGCTAAAATGTCTGTCTACTTAAGAGGTAAGGTAAAGGTAAAGCTATCCCTGTAACAGGCCATGATGGTCCATAGGGTTGTGAGACATCGAGGCTCCCACATTTTCTAGACAATCGGCTCACAGACGGCAGTAAGTTTGCGAACCTTACACACCAACCGCCCTTTGCCCCCAGGAAGATTCCTGATATTCATTTCTGTAAGAGGCTGAGTCAACCCCAGGGCCACAGTATGGCTGGAAGGATTAGGTAAATTGAAAAAGTTCAATGAGCTCATTTGGAACCAAACCCACGACCTTCTGACTTGTAGCATAGCGCCTCAACCAACTATACTAGCACATACCCCAAATATCTGTTTACTTATTAACATTAACACCAAAGACATGTATTCCTCAGAGATGTAAAAGTTTAACAGAAATTAGCATATGGTTAAGGACAGAAAACACATCAGTTTCAAACTGCTGGCATGTTAATGTTGTACAAAGAAGGGGCGGAACATGGAACATACTAGCTTGATTATAACATGTGATTCATATTACAAGTACTCTAAACTACATCATACGCCTCTCAACTCTCATTGTGGTTCCTCATCACTTCCTCATTGCCTTGATACAAATACTTTCAATAATCTCATATTTACATTGTCTCTGGGCCTCCCAAGTTTCACATCTTAATATCAGCTACTGTTCCTGCAAGTTAGAAACATAAAATAAAGTAGCAAACTTGAAACAGAGATGTCACCACTAGTGATCTGTGTATGTGCATACATGTGCCCATACGTATATGCAAGTGTGTAACAGGTATATTTTTTTAACTAAAGACACACCACCAATATCATCATCAGCCGTCAACATGAACTCTGATTTTGAGTTTTTCAGTATGTCTTCATTTCTTTGCTGTCCATTCCATTTCACCTGTCTCATAAATTTCATTTCCATAGTTGTAATCCTTATTTTGTCTTCTGCTTTCATTTTATATAAATCACTCCCAAAGCTAGGATATTATATACCTTCATTTTTGTTGGTTCCTTGAATTTTAACGGCTTAACAGCTGTATTCATAAGGCCTGTTATCTTCAAGCAGTTCAAAACATCAGTCTCTGTACCCTTTTCCCCTCCACTTGACAGCTTCCACAGTACTTGAAAGTGCTTGGTGTATTATCTTACTGTTCATCACTGTTTTATATTTCGTTAGTTCTTGGATGAAAAATACTGTTTTTGATAAGCAACTAACTCCAAGGAGCTGTGCCCTCCTTAAGAAGCTGCCAGTCACTCACCTACTCACGAATTTCCCAACATTTTATGGAACCCAAAGGTTCCTTACTGTGTTCACACAGTCCCTCCACTTGCCCCATCCTGAGCCAGATCAATCCAGTCCATATTGGTCCATCCTCTCTTTCTCTCTCTAAGATCCATTTTAATATTATCCTCCAACTTACATCTAGGTCTTCCTAGTTATCTCCTTCCTTTTGGCTTTCCAACCAAAATCCTATATGCATTCCTCTTCTCTTCATTCTTGCTACATGCCTGCCCATCTCATCCTCCTTCACACTGTTTTTTATTTATGCCTTAAAACTGTCATCCAATATTAGACTGTCAAATATACACAAGAGGCCTATAAGTCCTCATCTATAAGAAAGAAACTTTACAAGAAAATAATCATTAAACAAGAATCACAAAGTACATACGGTAAAATACTGGAACATAAATAAAGGACCATTTAGATTCAGCAATTCCTCACTGATAATGTCTCTATGGTGGGGTTTGAGTGCTCCTGAGACACTGAGAGCTGTGCTGGCGGTAGCATAGCTACTGGTAGAGTCACCCATGCCAGACAGGTCAAGGGGTAAGAGCCAGAGGAAGAGGGATACCCTGGTCCTCCAATTTTGGGGTTGGACATGAGGATAACCTAACACCATAAAAACTAAATTGTTCAGAAAACAGATAATCAGCCTCTAAAATAAAATATATATGACAAGGGATAGGAAGACCCAGGTTGAGATGGTTGGAGAATGTAATGATGTTCTCTGTATAATGAACGTGAAAGGATGGGAAGGAAAGATGAATAATAGAGAAGAATGGAGGCAGATTGTTCGTGAGGGCAAAGCTCACCCTCAGCTGTAGTACCGAGGGGATGGAAGGAAGCTTCAGCAATCTCCAGCACATTCACTATACTCTATGGTCACACATCAAAATTTACTTCAATTCTGTCTCCTGGCATTACAGTTACATTTCAGAACAATATGTCTACAGTATTTGATGTGGAATTTTGACTGAATAACAAAAATACAACCACAAGACTACTTAATTTAAATGTCAAGATACAGACAATAAACACTGAAATGAAATTTCAAATATTCATATGTGTTATAAAATTCTTATATTTTTCATCAGTACCTCATCCAACAGAATAATACTGGGTGCCTGTTGTTCTGCAGTTCTGAACAATTGCCGCAGTCTGGTCTCTGTTTCACCCAGATACTTGCTGTATATCTCTGCACCACTAACTGTCACAATGGCTGCTCCACTCTCAGCAGCAAGAGCCTTGGCTAACACTGTCTTTCCAGTACCAGGAACTCCATACAGCAAGATACCTCGAATCACTGGCAAACCTAATAAATACACGCCATCTGGTAAAAAGTAAGGTAAAATCATCCCAGTGCTTAATTTGTTAAGCACTATACCATGAAGATGTATGGGGGAGTAGAGGTATAGCTCCACCTTTCTTGACCTTGGTACTAGTTAAAGGTGAGTGGAACTTCAAGCCCCTGCCACTTTATCCCCGGGTAAAGAGGGCCTAGTAACCACTGGATAGGAGACTGGGTGGGCCCCAGAGTTGGTCTGGATTCTGCGGAGGAGGCAAAGATCTTGTAATGCTGGGAATCCAACCAAGACAGTCCAGCCCATCACTATACTAACTGAGCTATCCTGACTCCTATAAATGCCTTTAACTGTAACAGATATTCACAAACAATTTAAAATAAGACGCAACATACATATTCAACATGCTTGTCTCCACTGGTCTGCTCACACAAACTAAATGAACTCAAGTGCTACCACCTGTTAACATTTTTTAAACCAGATCTACACTAAAGTTTTAATAAATCAGATCTTAAGCCATGTTGCTATAGGATGAAGATGAAAATTCTGCCATACTTCTTTAAATTCCTAAACAATTTGTCATGTTGTACAAAAGAAAAGTGGGAAATCCTACATTGAAATGGATGTCAGATGAAGAGAATAATTTATGAAAGGTGAAAGTGAAGAGACAGAGGCAAATAATAGAAATGAGCATGTCATAATGAAGGCCACTTCTCTTAGAGGACCAGCAAGTAAGGAATCAAGTAAGAAAATAAGTACATGGGTGGGTAGGTAGTTAGGTAAGAATTCAACAGATTCTGATGAAATTAAGTATAGTCAACATACATAACAATAAATATTGCTAAGAATATTAGATTATAAACATTAATCTAAATGTTGTCCATACAAATATTTGAAGATAATATTAATACAAATGTCATTAGATAGTTATCCATTTCTGACACATATACGATTTCTCAGGTTTCTTCCTTCACAATACCACATACAATATTACAGTTCAAAATTTTTCCAAATTTTTATGTTGATAAGTTAGAATTTAAATACACTCTACTAGTACCCACATTTGTATTACATAAAACAAATGCTAAAATTAATGTGTACTTCAAAAACACACCATAAATGAGTAAAAAATACACTAAATTTCAAACATAACCTCCATACAGTGTAGGAGGCTCAGTCTTGTGGACTTTGCTGTGTTAAGGATTCAGTTACAAAGCAATACACACCTTGAACTAGAAATACGTTCTGTAACGCAAGTTGGATAATTTCATGAATTTCCTCGATTACATTTTGTAGTCCGCCAATTGAAGACAAACTGCAAACACTTTCATTCTTTGCACTTTCTTTCTTGTCTACGGACCCAATCAATTCAACATTCCACTCCGTTCCTTCCACAACTCTATAGAACAAATTCACTTCACCTCCACACCCAGCATCCTGTGACAACTGCAGATCATTCAATTCCTCAGTAAGTTGATGAACAGCTTCTACAGACTTATCATCGTGTTGCGATGATCCTGAAATATATACCAGCTGTAATACAATTATTAAAGGAACACTGAAGAACTAGATATTCTGACATATAAAAGTAATAATACATCAAAACTGATGTGGCCTTCTGATTCGTTTTCGGCTGAAAGTAGTCCAAAAATATTTGTTTATAGCATGCAAGACAATATCTTGTAACCACAGACCTGAACACAAAATTGAGGAAAATCATAACTGGAGATTCCTTCGCAATAATTCTGTCATATCCATCAACCACCACAAGTAACAGAGCCCAATTACAAGACAGATTTTGATAAAACTTCGCATGACAGAGCTATATTAAATTTTGGTTACTTTCATTTATTTCAAAGGCCACTTTACCCAAAATATTGATTGAACTCTTATGTATATCGTTTTTAGTTCTTTTGGAGATTTTTAAGAAACGTGATCAACAAGTACACAGTTATATGGATATGTACTACCATGACTAAGTTTAATTCATTGTAATTAATTTCAAAGGTGACATTAGCTTAGTGTCTAAACATACTTTACAGCCCATCTCAGTATGTATTCACCTGAAGGAATGTCTTGAACAAATGTTTTAAGCGTCCATAGTATATGTGTTACGCTTTACATAAAAGTCGCACAAAACTCAGTGATTCTGAGGAAAAATGAATAGTAAGTTCATATCATTAAAACAACTGTCCAGTTACCACAGTTCACTTAATACTTCCACCAGATGACAACTTGAACAAGTTCTGATGGAGTATGTGGAATTCAGCAGCTACATACTTTATAATTCTCATTTCATGCATCCTGTTATGTTATAATATACAACTTCTTTATTACAACCATCACAACTCAACTAATATCATATCATTATATCATCTGATATTAGTTGTATTATGACGGTTGTAATAAAGAAGTTGTACATAATTTATATTCCTGTCTTACAGGCTTTTTGCTTTAAACTGTCCCAACAAAAACTATAAACCTGCTCTATTTGAATGACGACTCCTCCTACAAAGACAGCACAGAGACACCATGCAAAGACAAAGAAAAAACTGAAACTGCAAAGGGAGTTCATTACCATAATAAATTTTCCCTTTCAAAATATTCACACCTTTAAATGGGCATATCTGTTTCACGATGAAAATGAGATTCTGGCCATAGTGTTGCAAAGACAGTCTGTCTCCTATTTTCAAGATTCTGGTCCTGTGTTTTCCATGAAGAAAACCAGACAGGTCTGTGGGAGTGGTGTTCAGCTTATCTGTCATATGAACAGACACTAAGCCAGCTGGAAATGGCTGCTCATTCATCTTCTTCACAGTCACATGACCACCACAACTGCTGCCCCAGTGCAAATCCATTGCTGGAACAATTATGGTACTGTAGAACACACACATCAAAACAAAATTTTCAGGAGCACTTAACTGTTTTGACAACCACCTATTAACTTCATGTTGGTCCATCGGGCCGCAAGTAACAGCAGCTAAACTACCGAACTGATTTTGATTAAATCTGATGGAGCAGACCCACACTAAATTTTGTTAAACAGCAGTGTCAGATACTTTATATAAGTAACATTTCAGTACATAAAAGAACTAAGTCTTTATACACAAAATCCATAATTCCAGTATGTACTGTGAGTGCATCTGCTTTCTCATTTTTCATGTACTACTTCAAATTTTTCCTTAACAGACTCACAATGACAACAGCATATATTTTGGGTGGCCAAATGACCAACCTCTTTAACACTCAGCTGACTGGTTTGCCAACCATCATTTTAGTAATATTAAGGTAAATTAAAGGTATCCCTGTATCAGGCCATGACGGCCCATAGGGCTTTGAGATGTTGAGGCTCCCACATTTTCTAGACAATCGGCTCACAGATGGCAGTGAGGTTGTCAAACTTATGCACCAGATGCCCTTTGCCCCCAGGAATATTCCTGGTACTCATTTCTGTTAGAGGCTGAATCGACCCCAGGGCCATAGTGGGGCTGGAAGGATTAGGTAAATTGAAAAAAATTCACCTCATCGGGATTCAATCATGCAACCTTCAAGCTTGTAGCATAGTGCCTCAACCAAGTATGTTATTGCGTGCCCCCTTTAGTAATATTAAGGTAAAGGTAAAGCTGTCCCTGTGCTTAACTAATTAAGAACTACACCATGAAGGTGTATGGGAGAGTGGATGTATAGATTCACATTTTCTTGACCTGGGCACTAGCTGGAGGTAAGAGGTCAGCTTCGCGCCATGGCCGCTTTACCCATAGGGAGAGCCTCACAGTACCCATTGGGCATGAGGTTGGGTGGACCCCAGAGCCAGTCTGGACAATGTGGAGAACACTCTTGAACCTACTTGACTCGAACTCCAACCCCTTGGTTGTCCAGCCCGTAGCCAGTCACTATGCCAACTACACTATCCTGGATCCTTATTTTAATAATATTAGCTAATAAAATTAACTTACATGATCTAGTCAAGAGAACAGAAACGAGACTCTTCTCCAAAGTTGGCCATGCTATCTTGACAGTGGAGTCTCCACCCACACTGACTATAACAGGATCACCAATACTAATATCACACAACTGTAGAGCTGACTGGGACAACAATACCAAGTTGTCATGTTCTGCCTTTGGAATATTCTTCAGCCCATCTGCAGGCACAGAATGGTATTCAATAGCATCACGCTGAAACTCTTGGCCATTTAACTCTATAACTCTGTGGCCTGTAGTCTGCAAGCATACTATATCGACCAAGCAACCACCGCTTGTCGGCGAAGTCGGTGCCAACTTTAGTGATAGAGGTTGTCACGTGGTCAGCACAATCCCCACGGCCATTAATTTCAGTTTTCTAGACTGGAGCCGCTACTTTTCCATTCAAGTAGCTCCTCAATTATCTTCACAAGGCTGAGTGGACCCCTAACCAGACCCACTATTTCTCAGAAAAATCTGGTAGCGCCGGGAATCGAACCCGGGGCCTCTGGATTTGTAGCCAGGAACTCTGATCACTAGACCACAGAGGCAGTCAGAGGGATCAGTAACATTGTGACTGATGGTCAGTCAGTCAGTCAGTAAGTCTTGGTATTGAGCCCCATTTGGTGCTTATGACCAGATATTTATTACTGTTTGACAGTTGTTGTCTTGTTTTTGTGGGGTGCCCTCTCCAACAAGAGGACACGTGTCTGTCTTTTGCCAGAGTCATTGTCTGCAGGAGAAATCATTTGTCATAATGTAAAGGACATTTACATTTTACATGTTAAACATGCTAATAAATGTAAATAAAATATATACAGGGCCTCTGTCAGTTGAGGCTCAGTGTAGCAAATTATGCCCTATTTCTAATAGCTCCCCCTACAACAGTAGTCTAATCACTTGAACAGTCATATGTTTGACCATCGCCAAGTTTAAGCCTCTTATACTTTCTATGTCAGGCTTCGCCTTGTCCAATATTGTGAACATTTTTGTTATCATGATTCTGTATGCCTTCTGCTTGTTGCCTGCATAATTTTGTTATACAATCATATACGTACAGAATTCTGAAAGCCATGCGTAAATTGCGAACCAGTGTGTGCCTTGGAAAATTGTGAATGGTGCAGAGAACCTTGTTTTGCAGGCACTGAAATTTCATTAGCTGCTTAATTGGTACTATTTATAAACCCTTGGCATAGACCACACACAAAACACCATTCCTGTTCTTGTTCAATTGTTGCTTATTTAGAATCTGTTACCTAGCAAAGAACGTTGTTCTTTTCTTTTGCAGTCGTTGCCTATAAATAAGTGTTGTTTCAGAGCCATTTGCTAGCAACGGCTGTTTTCCTGGCTCCACAGCTCTTGCTTTGAGCAAATATGCCATAATATAATTTGATATAACTTTTGTAGTTTAAACAGAGCCATTAACAACCCAAGAAATGACTGATTATGTATGGATGCTATCAGTGAACAGCTCTCTACCCTTCTTCCATTCTGTTTCATTATTGAAGATATTCAATAAACAAAACAAGAGACTTTAACTATAATAAACCAAAGTGTAAATATAAAATTCAGCAATATAATCTAACCTTAAGTGATCTTATTTAGGATAAATTCAGAAACATTACCTTGTTGTTTCACTTCTTCCAGTACTCCATACAAAACTCTGTCTTTAATATAGCCATGAGTCCATGACTCTGATGATGGGGGACAAGAGTTCTCTGCATGTGTCATCAAATCCTTCTGGGCCACTATCACTTTACAGATTTCACATAGGTTCCACAAAGATAGTGACTTCCTGCCTTTTGGTGGCATCATGCACTCCTGTTAAATCATGTTGAACTTTGGTGGTTGTAATGGGGGAGGGGGCAGGAAAAAACCATAATATCTATATATCCATTACCTGAAATAACAGTTTTTGGAACTTTTGAATACCAATTATAAACATAAAAATATAGGTACAAGGCAACTGTTACTAACTGCTGTTAAATATGGGTATTTCAAGCTGTGAACTTATTTTAAACACGCGAACACAAAACAATAACCTAATCCGTATTACACAACGTTCCATAAATAATTCACGCGGTCGATTCTCGCTAACAACGAGCACATAACAAACAACGCGCCAATTTTCCACAATTAGACAAAATTTGTGAAATTTTTTTCATATCGCTCTGCCTCCATTTTTATTCCGTAACTGCGAACTACATTACGCGCCAAGTTTCACGGGACAAACACGTGGGTTTTTGTCTCCATTGTAACCATTACAACAATCACATTTCTTTCTCAGACAACACGTCTTATCACTCCTCAATCGACGGTTGTATAACGATCAAGGACCCCCTAACCCCCGCATGACCATCGGTCATTTCTTTCCTCTTTGCAGTGTGGTCCAGAAATAGAAAAACTGTATTCACGGAGTATAGCTAAGCTGTATACATGTCAGCAATATAACAGTAGTGCCAACACGATTCGGTGTCGGTGAACGTGAGTGGTTAATGAGTGTTATCGAGGAGATAACGAAGATTGTTTTCACGAAACAGTCCATTTTATAACTTGTTCGAGCCTGTAAAGTGTGAACTGCAAGATTTTTCCACCATGACGATTATGGAATTCTTTGGTTGTACATTTCTGGCATTCGGACCACCCCTGGCAATGTTTGCTTTTACAATAGCCAGAGACCCAATCAGAATAATTATTTTAATTGCTAGTGCCTTCTTCTGGCTCCTTTCGTTTTTAATATCATCGATTTTGTGGTTTCTTGTGCCAATAAAACATAAACTTGTATTTGGCCTTGTGTTTTCAGTACTTCTTCAAGAAGTTTTTAGATATCTAATTTACAAGCTTCTCAGGAAAGCTGAAAGTGGTCTGAAGAAAGTTACAGATAATTCTGAACAAATAACAAGCAACAAACATATCCTTGCTTATGTAGCTGGATTGGGATTTGGAATCATTAGTGGAGCTTTTTCCTTGGTCAATGTACTAGCTGATGCTATTGGTGAGTTAAGTCTTCAGGCTTGAATTTAACATCCCTCTAATAAATACCTGACAGTGAAACCAGAGGGTTAAGTTGTAGCACTTGTGGGCTCATGCATACTTTCTGTTTCCACACATGGAACATGGAAAAGTGTTTTACAATACAGAGAGCCAAGGCTGCCAACAGGTATAGAGGGCTAGCCATATTTTAAAAGCATGTAACACTAATTTCTCATGTGTTTGGGGGATTAAATTAGTCTGCAGTGTCTGCAAGAGGGGTCCAGCATTCACAGCTCACTGTTCTTCCTCAGGTTTTATTAACACATTTATTTCTGTTTTATGAAAAAGGTGCTGGGATGGTATCTTGTGTAGTCAGAAAAAGAATCTGTGTGGTGTGGTAAAGAGGGTTGCCACTAAATGTCACATTTAGGAGAAAAACAACTGTATATGTTTAAGCAGTAATATTTCATCATGTCACCAAATGGAAAGCACTGTGCTTAGACATTACATTATTTTGATTATTTTTATGCATATTACTTTGTAATGCACATCCAGATTTTAACTTAATTGTCTTTTCTGTAACACTAAAGACTTGCTGTCAATGAATTGATTGCTTGGCTCATCCATTTACAAGTATTTTACCTAAAGAAATACAGTAAAATAAATGCTTATATAAATTACCAGAATCCATCCATTCATTGTATTACAATATCTGTTTTCCATCTGAAGTGGCACTTTCAGCACTGTCAACCTATAAATACTCATATGTCCATAACTTTACTTTCTCGTATACACTGGGGACCTGATGGTTTCAAGGAACGATGCTGGATTCTCATTCAGATGGTTCTGAGTTTTATCCCCAGTCATATCTGTGTGCAGATTTTTATGCTCACAGATTGATAGCTGTACCGAAGATAAGAGGATAGCGCAGTCGGCATAGTGACTGGCTATAGAGCTTGAGTTTGAATAAAGAATTTTCTCTTCTCCACGTCATGCAGACCAGCTCTGGGGATTTGTGTTGGACAAAGTGGCGCTGGAGCAGGTTTTCTCCGAGTACTTCAGTTTCCCTTGCCCATCTTCATTCCACCAATTGCTCCACAATCACCCTCACCTATCATTTGGGGCTGGTACAATAGGCCAGAAGTGGGTGCAGTACAAGGGACTTACTCCCACCCCACTAGCAATAAAAAAAAATTGGGCACTTCTTAGATGATATCAAACTTCCTAGCACATGTAGTTCAGGTGAAGTGGCATGACCATGAAGAAAATTGATCTTAAGATTTTAACAGAAAAGTACACTGTATTTAATTTTGAAATGCTCTCTGTTCATTCAGGTAGTGCCCATGCAGTTCACTATTTTTCTTCTTGTTTGGTATTGTGTTTACCTCCTCCACTCATACCTTGCAAATATGAAGTTGATAAATTTTTAAGAGCATTTCTCATGAAACTTGAAGCACATGGAAAAGTAATATTGGAAGCTGCTGGAACAGTTTTGATTGCATTTCACTGATGGACAGAGTGTAGCCCAAAATAATATTTTTGAGATCACATGTCCCCAGAAAAGCACAGAGGCATCCTGTCACATTCACAGTGTGTATATGTGAAGGATAGTTTGTGATATTAATTTTTTGTTGTTCCAGGTCCTGCAACAATGGGCCTAAAGGATGGGTCAGATCTATTCTTCCTCGCATCTGCAGCCACTGCTCTTTGTTTCATCATGCTTCACACCTTCTGGAGTGTTATCTTTTTTTCTGCAGTGGATAATAGAAACTATTTACAGATTGCATGGGTAGTTGGTACTCACATGACAGCTTCATGTTTCACGTTGTTCAATCAGAACGAACAATACTTAGCATCACTTTTGCCAGCGTATTGCATTATGGTAGCTACAGTATGTATGGCTTACTATGTAGCTGGTGGCACATTCCGCAGTTTTGCTGCAACTCTGAAATTTCATAGAATGTAATAATAAAATTATATCTTAATGTATGCATAATTTATTAACATGAAAATATACACTTTCTACAGATGCAAATACAATTATCATTCCACCAAACTGTAATGTGAGTTTATATCGTTCATCAGATTTGTTAAGTCTGGCACAGATGGACACAGACAAAATGCCATGTTATAAAATAATCATGATTATGTTCTGTGCCAACGGAAGCTGTCTCTGTTGATATGTGAAACTTTTTTTAATAGATACAGTTTGTTGTAAACACTTGAAACCTTAATACCAACTGAATCCACTCATTGGAAAGAGGAATTGATTTGTCCACTGACTGAAATGCAGACGCATTCCCTGTTCTAATGAATAAATGTTCAGAATTAGCAACATGTCTTAAATCAATTGTTAGTAGTCAACACAAAGGATCACCACACATTCACAAATTTAAATGATGTCTGCCAACTGTGGCATAACTCAAAACTCACATATCTATAGAACCAATATATAACAATTTGGTAGCATAGTTGGTTGAGGCACTATTCTACAAGCCAGAAGGTCGTGGGTTCAAGTCCCGATGAGGTCATTGGATTTTTTTCAATTGACCTAATCCTTCCAGCCACACTATGTCCCTGGGGTCGACTCAGCCTCTTAACAGAAATGAGTACCAGGAATATTCTTGGGGGTAAAGGGCAGTGGGTGCATAGGGTGACAACCTTGTCACCATCTATGAGCCGATTGTCTAGAAAATGTGGGAACCTCAACATCTCACAACCCTATGGGCCTCCACGGCCTGTTACAGGGATACCTTTACATTTTTTTACTTTTTACCTTTAAAGAATATTTCTGCTTAAAGCACCCATTCCATTGGGTAAATAATAGAAAAGATTTTGAAAGAACCAATTTATTAGGCTGACTGATGTTGCATCATTATGAAATGCACTCAAAAGCAGAGCCATTATAGAACTTGATAACTTGTGCGCAAGTACGGCATAACAGTAACTGCTTGTTGCTGATATGGTACTTTATGAGTATACAAGTTTCAAGATATGCCACACTTCCCAGATATCTATTTTCCTATAAATCATGGAATCATGTTTTATTCCACGGAATTGTCTTCATTTGTGAATTTGGGGCTCTCCAATTTTAGTAAGAAATTTGTCTTATTATGTATGTGGGTTGACTTCACAATATGTGATACATAATACCTCTGGACTACTAATTTGAAGTTACATGTAATCTACTTTTCATATCACTTTTGAAAAATTGGAATTTAACTGCAAACTGATGTTCTCATGCCACAAAAATTAAGATTTTTGTCTTCTGAGATGAAACACTTTGTGGTCATCTTCTAAGAAGGAGATAAGGTCCCCCAGAATGTTGGTAACTATCTACCAAACCACAGAGCATTATATCCAAGAAGACTGAAATCTGGAATATGATCTGTTTTCTGTTCAGTGTCCTCTGTCACTTATCACTCATATTTCACCATAGAGGCAACTTCTGATGGTACATAAAAACAGTCCAGTTGAGCTGATAAATGTTATTCAAGTGTAAGCAGATTGCATGCCTGTATTTCAAGATGTCACTCTATCCATAACTCATAGTGTAAGAAGCAGCCTCTTATGTAGGAAATTTGTACTATATTAAGTGGTGTATTAATTTATTATGAGTTTGATGTTATGTCATGAGAAGTGATGAACACTTTATGATGTAAATAAGAAAGTGATAATTTAATGTTCCAGTATCATTGTCCAGTTAAAAAAAATATTTGATAATATAAGCACAGTTAACAAAACCTGTAATACTTTTAATACATTTTGTATATAACATTGAAAATGTTGTTCTAGAAGTAACAATAATAATGAGAGTATTTCATTATTACAAATACATTCTGAATCCATATGTCAATAACAGTGTAATAATTACTATTACATTCATAATTTTTAAGTATAGTATTTACAGAGTTAAAGGAGCCAGGACAGTGTAGTCTGTATAGCGACTGGCTATGGGCTGGATGACTGAGGGCTTAGAGTTTGAGTCCCTGTAGGGTCAAGAATTTTCTTCTTCCCCATGTCCAAACCAGCTCTGGGTGCACTCAACCTCCTATCCAATGGTTACCGGGGGCTCTTTCCCCAGGGGTAAAGCAGCCAGCGCAGGTAGCTGACCACTCACCCCCAGCTAGTGCCAAGGTAAAGAAAATGTGGATATATACATCCACTCCCTCATATGCCTTGATGGCATAGTGCTTAATTAGTTAAGAACAGGGACAACTTTACCTTTTTACAAAGTTAAACTTCTTTTAAAATCGTAACTTATCTTCAGTATCCCAATATCCAAATTTTAAAAAGATATGTTACCTGCATATACAAGCAATTATTTTAGTATTTACTTAGTAGTTTAACATAAAAATTGTATGCTGAAATTAACAGATGATAATTAATATGGAACACCTAGAGGGAGGCATTAAATGGAAGCAGTATCACTTTAAAAACCAATCATAAGATTTGTGAGTTTCTTCTTTTTGACAGAAGACAACTGACACAACAGAACAAAAAGTCTGAATAAAAAATATGTAATTATATCATATTTTACCAGTTACAAGAAAAGGTACCCTAAAACTATAGGTTTCAACTAGGGACTATCTCTTTCGATTGGGCCCAACTGAGTATGTTTTACCTGAAAATGCAGACAGAATCCAGTCGCCAAAACTTTGTGTTTTTAAACAAACATGATGCTGGATAATGTCCAGTAACATAATATTTGTATTTCACATAAGTTTCATCAATCTATAAGTACATATTGAAAGAATTTAACATGATTTGCTTCTGTTACCACAAGACGGTAGATCTGGCATATGGGTTGCCCATGCATTGACTGTGTACTGTGTAATTCTCAGAATTTCTGAAGATGTTGAATGTTCATGTTCCAGTGTTTTCCACCACCAGTACACTAAATTCCCAAATATTCAACATATGGTCTGTATGTTGACAAGCCAGCCATTATCCCCTGCTTACCAAGTTTTGTATTTGTTGGTGTGTGGTTGTCTGAAAGCAGTCACTTCCCAAAGTAGATCTGACACCAAGATTAAAAAATACATGTAACATTAATTTAAGACACCTTCACATTTCTAAATTGATGGTTACTTCATAATTTTATAATGTTGATTCAGTGTTACTCTGAAATTCAGTCAGTATTTACTCATGTTCATATTTTTTTATTCAAATGTCTAATAGATTCTGAGACGGCACAGTACTTACTCTGTTATCTTGATAATGTCCATGGTGAATTTAAAGTTACATACTCTCTCTGAAGCCAATTTCAGTGGCCGTGAAGTCTAAGGCATGAACTGTCTTCGCCTGCTTGAATGCTGGAATCGTGGGTTTGAATCCCACTTGAGGCATGGATGTCTATGTACATTTATTCTGTGTTTGTGCTGTCCAATGTATGCAGGTAGCGGCCTTGCGAGGGCTGATCCCCTGTCCGAGGATGATGTAAAATATCAAGAAACTGAAAAATTGACTAAGGTCCAACAAAAGAGCTGTAGAGCCATAGTTAGGTGCTCTTTCAGAAGTTCCTTGATGTCACTGATGAAATTATATTGCTCTGAAGGTATCACACATGCCTTTGTAAATATGCTTAACTTTTTGTGAAAACATCATATATGCAAGTGCTTAACATTATATAATACAATTCCTTTATATAAGAAAACTGACTTACAAGGACTGGAAAGAAAATAGTGGCAACATAGCTGTTAGGTACCAGCAGAGTGAATCTTCCTTGTGTCTGTAAGAGATCTTACTGATTGTTTTATTTCTTACCTCCAAAATCACTTCTCTCAGATACAATCCATCAAGAGTTTCCCATCACTCAGTGCCAAAAGATCTTTGATAGTGGCAATATTACAAATGGAGAATAATAGGCATGTAATGTTGACACTTATGCTTCTCAGAGAGTTTGTGTGGAACCCATTATCATGCAGTCTTGCACATACCAGGGATGTGCAGTGCCATTATGTGGCATACCCCAGCCTCACCCGACAGTTACTGTACCACATGCACTTTCTGGGTGGTCATTCTGCACACTGTGTATCCGGTCCCCTGTACCAACAGTCACAGCATACTGACACCCACCATGTAACTGTCCAATTTGACAGACACTACGTGCGCACTTCACTAACAGTCTGTCACATTATCTCCTTGGGTGAATTGAGGTTTTTTCAGGGGGATCACGCTGTCAAAAATTTGATTTTTAGTGTTAACGTATGACAGTCTAACATTACTAGCATGGACACGTGAGGCCGCGCCATAGTTCAAGCGGTTAGTTGCTGGCTTCCCAGCACGGCAGCCCAGGTTCAATCCCGGGTCTGGTCAAGCTGGATTTGTGGTGGACAAAGTGGTGCTGGGGCAGGTTTTCTCCGAGTACTTCGGTTTCCCCTGCCAATTTTCATTCCACCAAATTCTCCATCATCATAATCACCCGGGGCAGGCTACAGTAGGCCAATCAGTGGCCGCTGTGTTGAGTGGACCCAGTTGGACTCCACCCCCCACTAAACGAATTAAAAAAATGGGCACGTGATGTCAGTGTGTGGGATTCGCTGATTGATATACTTACTACCTGTGTCACTACTGGTGAGTGGTGCCCTTAGGTCCTCATACAATTTGCTCCCTGCACAGCAGCATTGCCACTATTTCTGAACCCTCATATTATGTTTGACATATGTAAATTATATTAAGGACTAAGATTAAAGTTAAGGTACATATTTTTTAAGAAAAGATTTCCTTTTTTTTTTTAATGACCCATTGTAGACATTAGTATCCCTTATTCCAATGTTATAAATACCCCATACTTCACCAGGAAAGTATTTATAATGGCATAAATTATGTCTGTATAGTTGTGAGATTATTTTAGTTTGATATTTATTATCTGTTATATCTCATACAACAGGCAAAACTTCCACAGAAAATTTACCATTTACTAGGGGCTGACTTGAAAGATTCTTTCGACTGAATAAAACAACAGTAAATGGATATGAAGGGAGTCAGATAGCGACTGGCTATGGGCTGAACAACTGAGGGGTCAGAGTTCAAGTCCCAGTAGGGTTAAGAAGTTTCTCTTCTCCATGTCATCCAGACCAGCTTTGGGGCCCACCCAGCCTCCTATCCAATGGGTAGCAGGGACTCTTTCCCCGGAGGGGGGGGAGGGGTTAAAGCGGTCGGGGCGTGAAGCTGACCACTCAACTCCAACTAGTGCTGAGGTCAAGAAAATGTGGATCTACAAGCATATATACACTCCCCCAGATGCCTTCATGATGTAGCGCTTAATTAGTTAAGCACTTTTAAGTTAAAACTTTTAAATGGATGTGAGGTTCAGAACTTAGAATATCTGTAATCTATAGGCCAGGTTCACTGAAA